TGTAAACACTTGAGCTTATTTAGTCCAGGTCCAGTGCTTAGGAAAACTCAGCTTCCTGGCTCCTTCTGCAGATCCAGATTCCTGAATGGATCATCCCTTTGAAGCAGCAGGTTATTTAGTAGGAGCTGAACCTGAAAATAACAAAGGTTCTACCTCTGGGGCTTCCAGGGAGTTGCAGTTTTGCTGGTTTTGGGATTTTCCACACCCTTTCTGCTTTGGAAGAGGTGCTGTAGGGATCTGGGCAGTTATCCCTGTGGACAGTTATCCCTGGGAATGGCCCCCGGGGCTGTTTGCTGAGCAAACAGGCACAGCAGAGTCTGCTCTGCCCCGGGGGGGGAGTGGGTGCAGAATTCCCTCCCTGGACTGTGATTCCACACCGGGTTCCCTCTGTGCCTCTCCTTTTGGAGCAAGAAGCAAGAAGGACAATTTAGGATAAATGTGTCTCAATTTAGGATAAATGGATCTCTAAGACTCGGTGCCTCCCGAGGCAGCCCTTGATCCCCCGGCTTTGCTGTCGTGTCATCAGCGACAATTAACAGGAGTAATTGTGGAGCAGCCCCGGGAGCTGCTGCCCCGTCCCTGCCCTCGAGGCTGTGCCACACAAAAACTGTCTCCAAAGGCTTCTCCAGCCGTGCCTCGGGAAGGGAATTACGCAGTAAGGACAATGCAAAAATAAGGATTCGTCTCCCAGCAATGGTCTGTAGTGATTACTGAGGTAGGTTTACAGGGGATCAGTGTCTCCTCACGCTGAATGAATCCCGACAGCAGATGCTCCAGAAGATCCACCACGTGCCTCCACTTCTGCCTCCAGTGCATCCCAAACAGAGTGTTTCCACATTAAAAAAGCCCAAACTGAGAATTCTCCACTGTGAATCTGAATGAGAAGAAAACACCCTACAGCAGAGGTTGATCCATAATGCAAAATCCCCGGCTGGGAAGGAGCCAAAAATTTACAATGGATCCCATCTCCTCCTCCTCAAGGCAGCAATTCCAGCTGCCACATCCTGCTCTTTCCCTGTCTGTGGGCAGCTCCTGCCTGGATTTCTCCCACTCATTTTCTAAATTCTTGCTCAGCACAGAGAATCCCCCCCTCCAAACCAGCCGTGACATCACAAGGCAGGCGGATCATCCCTGAATAAACTCCTCCGGTCCTTTTGGCCTCAGCCTTTCCTCACCCAGGAGCTGGGGCTTGGAAACAGGCCTTGCTCTGGTTGTAGGGAACGGGCTCTACATTCCTGGCTGGGGGGAAAAATTCAGCTTTCCTATTATAATTTTTTTTTTTTTTAAATAGATCAGTAACAGGCAATCTCAGCTTCTGTACAGGACTCTAAAAAATAAGTGGCTGAATATCATCTCGATAACCGGTTTGAAAAGCCGTTCTCTTCCTACAGAAACTGTAAACGAGTAGAAAATTTAAATAAGTCTTTTTGTAAAAAAGCAAGGACAGTTACAAGTCATAAAAAAATCGCTCCTTCCTGCCTGTGTCTCTTCCCCCCACCCTCCCACTCTGTCCCAGTGGCTGAGCCTGAGCAGCTCTGGGAAGAGCTGGGGATCCTCAGTGGGGTTTCCTTCTCCCCTGTGTTTCCAGTGTGACCATCCCGGCTCGCACAGGTGTCCCTCGGGCAGCATTTGATGTGTCTCCTCCTGATGTACACGATGGAGACAGGCAGGAATTGTGTCAAGGAGGTGTGCTGAGGAATTCCTTCAGCAACCAGGAGTTCCCAAGTCTCACCAGAAAAACCCTCAGCGCGACCCCCGGCAGCGAGTTTTCGGGGCGGAACCTCCCGACACGCGGAGGGAGAGAGGGAGGAAAAGGGAGACCGTTTTCCACAAAGAATTTCAGCAGTGGTGTCTGACGAGGACCAGCCATGGAATAAATAATCACCTACAGAGAGGTTCAAAGGAGACAACCGGCTTTTTACTCAGGAATTCGAGCTGAGCACTGGAGCTCCACGAGAGCGCCGGCTTTTGGCTTCCTGATTCAGCCCAAATTCAGCACCCGACGAGAGGATGATAATACTGAGGAAGGGACCACGAGCTGTGCAACCACTCCAGGCTCCTGGAGCGCTCCTCCCGGCTCAGGCACTGGTGCCATCCTCCTCGATGACGCGGTTCATGCTGGTGCCGTGCGTGATGTGTGTCAGCGGGTTGCTGCTGAGGTCCCTGATGCTGCTGTGCCGTGACTGCTCGTTCAGCCGGTGGGAGCTGCTGTGCCTGGAGTGGTCGGTCAGTCGGGACATGCTGCCGTGAGGTAGTCGTTCCTCCACGCCTCTGTAGCTGCAGGGGGTGTACCTGAGTCAGGGAAAAACAGGGGACGATTATCGCCGTCGTTATCAGGGCACAACGCAAATAGATCTCACCAACCCTCTGCTCTTGGGGGGAAAAGTCCTTCCCCTGCTTAGCTCAGTCATTCGGCTCACACAGCCCCAGGCAAAGCGTTTCAGCTCCTTTCACAACGGTTCTTACTCGGTTCTTACTCCAGCGTATCGGTAATTAGGGGAGTAAAACACTCGATGGTAAATCGTGTTATAAACCTTAACTGCACCTCAAGTCAGAGCGGGCAACTCGTGCTCCCCTTTGCTTCAGCAGGGCCAGGGGCTATTTAGAGACACAAAATCGATTTGCACACAGACAGAAGCAGCCACAAAATTACTGAGCTGATGTCGGGACAGGTCTGTTTTTCCACGTGCAGGAAAACCGGCACTGGACAGAGCCACGCTGTGTAACTCGTTGGAGACCTGCAGGAATTCTGAAAATACCATATTTTCCCTCTCTCCAATCCAGACACTAACAGGGAGAGGAGATGCAATAGAAGAACATCCAGTTTTAGCACCGTGGTGGCCACACACAGGCAGGGGCCTGTCCAATCTTCTACACCATTTTCCCACAGAGGTTGTGGACTCCCAGAATCTCAGGTTCTGGAGCCAGGCTGGGAGAGCTGGGGGGGTTCACCTGGAGAAGGGAAGGCACCAGGGAGACCTTGGAGCCCCTTCCAGAGCCTAAAGGGGCTCCAGAAGAGCTGGAGAGGGACCTGGGACAAGGGTTGGAGGGACAGGACAAGGAGGAATGGCTTCCCACTGCCAGAGGGCAGGGATGGATGGGATATTGGGAAGAAACTCTTGGCTGTGAGGGTGGTGAGGGGCTGGGATGGAATTCCCAGAGCAGCTGCAGCTACCCCATCCCTGGAAGTGTCCAAGGCCAGGTTAGCCATGGCAGGGGGTTGGGACTGGGTGAACTATCAGGTCCCTTCCCACCCAGGCCGTTCCACGGCTCCACGTTTTTTTGGGACACACGTACCGTCCGTCCCGCGAGCGGTGCAGGCTGCCGTGGTAGCTGCTCACTTTGCTGTGGACACTCCCTGCCTTGCTCCTCTGGTCGTCCAGCATGGCCAGCTGGGTGGAGGAGGCGTGGGTCGAGGTGCCCTGCGTGGAAGTGCCCCTGGACTTTCGGATGATGGGGGTGTTGGGATCCCTCAGGAGAGACTGGGCGAAGTCTGGCTCCTGCAGCACTTGGCGACTCTCGTTTACAACTCTGAGCAAGACAAAGCAGTTGGAACAATTAACGCTAATTGCGGGTGGTGGGACTACTTTACAAACAGAACAAGGCAAATCAGAGCCTCTGTTTGCATTGTTGTGTCCCTAATTGCCTCATTTTGAAGCATCTCTGTAGCTGGGCATTTTAGCAAAGTCCATGTTCTTGAATCCTGCCTAATCCCCAGGCCTGACCCTCCAGCTTGGACATGGGAACGATCACAGCGTTTGCGGGGTTGGTTTGTGGATGTTGTTACAGGAGAAATCCTTGGGATAGCGCTCGGATTCCCCAGGGAACTGCCTCTCGGGGAACACAGGAAGCCACCTCCTCACTCAAAAGAGCATCTAAAGTCTGGATTAGAACCTTCAGGAGGAGGGCACCTGGCAAAACACAACACATGAAATAATACCCAAGCGCTGCCCTGCGGCCTCAGCCCCAGGGTTGCACTCACACACTTGGCTGCTCCACCGGGGCGTGATGAAAGGAGCTGCAGCACATCCCCGACATTCCTTTTTGGGATTTCATCTCTTCCTTGTGGAGGCCTTTTGCTCCCCTCCCACTCTCTCTGTGCTGTTCTTTCATGTTCCCTTTCCTGTGCCTGTTTTCTTGCTCCCAGAGGGTGCCAGGCTCCCCGAGGAGGGAGGTTTGTACCAGCTCTGTCTCTTCCTGCTCAGAGGAAAATCTGACTCCATCCTGCCAAGGATGGGCAAAAAGTCACAGAGAACTCACTTAAACACTCCTGTCTTCGTGGGTCTGTTTTAAAACATCTATTTAAAACACAATATTTGCTATGAAAATAGCTCCTCGCGGCTACTACCAAACCGCACAGGTTGTCTCTAAATTTTATGCCACACCTTGGTCTAAATTAATTCCACCCTCACAGAAGCTCCAAGACGTTCTAATTGTCACTTTATCAAACTGCACTTCAGCACTAATGCATAATGGAAATTAAAAGCAGAGACAGGTTCTTTTAACTGCAGCCACGGTGAAAAGCACTTGTGTTTAACTTCAATTTAAAGGTCTGATTCAGCTGACTAGAAAAACACATTTATAAATGAAACCTTTCAATTCCACCTCTTTCTGTGAGTGTCAGAGGTGGTGTTCACCTGAAAACTAATTCTTGCTAAAAAATATTTGGAAGACAGAGGAATGTAGATTTGATTCTGGGACCAAATTATGGGGGAAATAAGGAATTTCAGGGTTTTTTTGTGCCGTTGCTTGTTTTGTCCTTCCTCACTCCCCCTTAGTTAGTGAGAAGTTTCTAACAAAACTGTCTCTTTTTTCAAGTATTTTCAAGTACCTTGTGCTATAGTTAACATATATATATAAGTATATATATATGTTATATGTTATATATATATAAAAATATTGTTCCACTATATATGTTTATATATAACCTAATTCTATAAAACATATATAGTACATATACATTTATATGTAAGATAATGGTATACATATTACTAATAATATATCATAGTATATTAATTACAATAACATATTTTAAAATATATAACATATAATATCAACAATACATGTAATTATCATATAAATTATATAAATAATAATACATATAACATATGTAACATATATAACATATAACAATATATGTTATGTATAAAATATGTATATATATTTACATATATATGTATAAATATGTTATATGTATATACACACACATATAAATATGCATACATATTATCTACATATATATGTACAAATATACATGTAGATAAATATGTGTTTTAAATAATGGGCAGGTGCAGTTACATTCTCATGCATGAGTGGTCTGCCACAGAAATTTTTATTTAATGATGAAGACCAAAAAACTCTGAGAACCAAAAGTCTACCCTGATCACAACACACTGTGACTGAGGAAAGGGAAAAAAAAAACAACCCTAATGTATAAATATTAGATGATAACACATTTGTTATCTCTACATACACAAAATTAAAGGAACAAGTAAATCTTCAAAATCAATGAGTTGTTTTTTATTTAGAAATAAGTATCTGCTTTATGTATGAAGCGGAAATGTGGATTGTTTTTGTGTCCTGTCGTGCCTCCACCAAAAAAACAACCAAAATACTCTTCCAGGACTATGAGGGCAGAGGTGATTTGCCAGTTTATCCCACAGATTCCCACACTCACTCTTTTTTCCTGCGCCCGTGGAAGAAACTGGCCCACTCAAAGCAGGTCTTCTTGCTGCCAACCCAGAACACGGAGGGAATCCCGACCACCAAGGCCATGAGATACTTCATGAGGAACAGGATCAAATCCGGGCGGCTCATCTGAGGCACCTGGGGAGGAAAAAAAGGAGGAAAAAAAAGAGGATTCTCCAACCCATCCTAGTTCACTCCTCCATTTATAAACTCATTTAAACCAACTCCCTCTGCCCGGAGCCAAAGCAAACACGGCCAGGGCTCCTTTGTCCCGGGGCTCCCCGGACCATGACGGAGCCCGGTCCTGCCTCAAACAAAAGGCTCAACTGCTGTGAGGTCTTGGCCTTTTATTTGTATTTCTGGTCCTTTTGTCCGTGCCCTGAATAACTGTGAAACATTTTCTAGCCTACAAATCATAAAGACTCGTCTCTTTGACGGGATTAACCTATATAGGACCAGGTGCTGCCAGTGCCGCTGGGAAAAATCCCAGTGGAATGCTTCGTGGATGCTCAACGCTGATCCTTTATTCCTTGGCCTTCAGTGGTTGGTTCCACCCTGTTTCCCTCCCTTGGGAATTCGAGGCACCAGTGGGATACATCTGCCTGATTCTTATCAACCCAGCAAAACCCTCTTTCTTCGGAGAGATCGGCTCGAAAACACGAGGCCTATTTTTGCCAAGGTTTTGATGTACAAAGGGTTTGTTTGGAAAAGACCCGGGGAAGACACCAAGATGTTCCTTCTGGGAAGGTCTGCAGGGCAGCTGTAAAACAAACAGGCATCTGGGGGCCTTCCTGAATCAGTAACTCAGCTCAAAAACTGAACCTTCAAGGACGGAGAACTTGGGGTTTAAGCCTCAAAGACAGCACCAAGCCGCAGAGGAAAGGAACAAATTGATGCTGATGGAATTAAGCCCTCTAAAAGCACTTGTGTGACACTGTCACTGTGACCAGGGAATTCCAACAAAGGCTGGGAGAGCTGGGATAAAGGCTGGGAGAGCTGGGATTGTTCAGCCCGGGGAAGAGAAGGTGCTGGGGTGACCTGATTGCGGCCTTCCAGGACCTGAAGGGGCCTCCAGGAAACATGGAGAGAGAAACTATTTACAAGGGATTTTGGACAAGGGATGGAGGGACAGGACACAGGGAATGGCCTCCCACTGCCAGAGGGCAGAGAGAGATGGGAGATTGGGAAGGAGTTCTTCCCTGTGAGGGTGGTGAGGGGCTGGGCTGGAATTCCCAGAGAAGCCGTGGAAGTGTCCAAGTTGGCTTGGAGCAAGCTGGGATAGTGGGAGGTGTCCCTGCCCATGGCAGGGGGTTGGGACAGGCTGAGCTTTAAGATTCCTTCCAACCCAAACCATTCCATGATTCTATGACCTCAAACACCCACTGATTTAGGGTACAGGAAGATCTTCCCCTGCTTTTCATCACAGCAGAGGGAGGGCTGGTCAGAAAACACCAAACACGATGTTTCGAGCCGGGAAATGTTGCTCTGTGAGGTAAAAGTGAGGCTGGAATGCTCTGGAATTCCCTCTGGGAATTCAGAGGGATGTCAAGCAGGGCCGGCAGGAGGGCAGGGAACAGCCAGACCCTCCTGGAAAAAGAAGGGGATGTTCAGATGATGCTCTCTGGCCTTTGAAGGACGAGAAAGCACGAAAAGTACAATGGCTACATAACATGAAACAGCCAAACACTGAAATGTGGGGGAAAAAAAACAATTTAAGCTGAGCAATAGGAAAGAAATAGGGCTGCAGCAGCCATGAGGAAATGCCATTCTCATGGGAGCAGGATTTTGGAATAGCTTCCAACAGGAACTGTGGGGGATCTTTTAAGGCTGAGTGTTATCGGTTCCCGAAAGATGTTGACAGTGAGAGTCAGAGCTTCCAACTGATCCTCTGTGTTTTAACATAAAAACACAGACACAACCTCCTAGAACAATATCAAGGACCATTTTTTCCCCCCCAAAACTGGAAATCTGAATTCAGTGTAGTCCCTGTGCCACGAGGATTTTCCAGGAATATTCACACCCTGTGAATATTCCAAGCATTTAATGCACTGCTTCTACATGGACCACTGAAAATACAAGGATAATTGGTTTAGTACTTTGCGATATTGCACATTTTTTAATATTATCACCATTGCAGATGGGAAATAAAAGCGTGGAAATTAATGAGCATTATTTGAAGATTTTCTCAGTGTTCTCCATCCACCTCTGCCCCAGGAAAACCAAAGGGACATTAGACCCTGTGAAAGGGTCAAATGGATCTTCCTACACTTGCCACCATTTAACCAGGACAAGTCTGAGGGTTTTCTGGGTGGTTTTGTCACCAACCTGTGAGATTCCACTCAGGGGGAAAAAAAAAATAAAAAAAATTAACAACTGCCCAATTAAAAAAATTACCCGACGAAAACGAAGCTCTCAAAAATTAACCTCATTATTTCACTATGTGGCATTAAGTGGAATAAGTGGTGAAATTCATCATTTCTTAATGAAGGTGATGTTCAGGTATATTTTTAAATTTACATATATAATGCTTGTCCACAGGGCCAAGTCTCCCCTGGCAGAACTGCTGCCCTGAAGGGAATTTAATTTGATTTTTGCATTAAGAATAAACCACCAGTTCCAGCACTAAAGCTCCCAGTTGCTCACTGTATTACTTCCACGGAGATATTGCAGTAAATCACTTGATATCAACACTTCTGGCTCAATATATTCACTCTGGGTGCCATAAATAATTCCAAGCAAAAATTTAAAGGAGATTTGCACTTCTTTACTGCCCAGCTATTTAGGAAGAGTCAAAAATACAACTTAAAACAGTGAAGTTGTTGCAGGCTTGGACAGGGTTAGATACAATTACAATACATGGGAATCATGAATTCACCTGGAATATCCAAACTCCACCCATCACTCAAAATGCAAAACATTTTCCAATGATCTGCTTTGGGTCTTTATTTACAGTAAAGCCCCACTTGCAGGGAATGTAATGTTGCAATGTCATATAGAAATATAATATAGAAATATAGTATGGTAATATAGAAATGTCATATAGAAATATAATATAGGAATGTAATATAGAAATGTAATATAGATATATAATATAGAAATGGTTTGGGTTGGAAGAGACTTCAGAGGTATCTCATCCATCCCCTGCCATGGGCAGGGACACCTTCCACTATCCCAGGTTGCTCCGAGCCCCGTCCAACCTGGCCTTGGACACTTCCAGGGATCCAGGGGCAGCCACAGCTTCCCTGGGAATTCCATTCCACTCCCTCCCCACCCTCCCAGCCAGGAATTCCTTCCCAATCTCCCATCTCTCCCTGCCCTCTGGCAGTGGGAAGCCATTCCCTGTGTCCTGTCCCTCCAGCCCTTGTCCCAAGTCCCTCTCCAGCTCTCCTGGAGCCCCTTTTAGGCTCTGGAAAGGGCTCCAAGCTCTCCCTGGAGCTCAGTGTTTTCCTTTAATTCCTTGGAGCTTCATCCCACAGGATTTGTCTGATGGGAAACTGAGACCCCCAGCCTGGACCCACCCCAGCTTCATGGAATTACAGAATCCCAGAGTGGTTTGTGTGGGAAGGGACCTTAAACACCATCCAGTTCCACCCCCTGCCATGGGCAGGGACACCTTCCACTATCCCAGGTTGCTCCGAGCCCCGTCCAACCTGGCCTTGGACACTTCCAGGGATCCAGGGGCAGCCACAGTTTCCCTGGGAATTCCATTCCACTCCCTCCCCACCCTCCCAGCCAGGAATTCCTTCCCAATCTCCCATCTCTCCCTGCCCTCTGGCAGTGGGAAGCCATTCCCTGTGTCCTGTCCCTCCAGCCCTTGTCCCAAGTCCCTCTCCAGCTCTCCTGGAGCCCCTTTAGGCTCTGGAAAGGGCTCCAAGCTCTCCCTGGAGCTCAGTGTTTTCCTTTAATTCCTTGGAGCTTCATCCCACAGGATCTGTCTGATGGGAAACTGAGACCCCCAGCCTGGAGCCATCCCAGCTTCATGGAATCACAGAATCCCAGAGTGGTTTGTGTGGGAAGGGACCTTAAACACCATCCAGTTCCAATTCCTGCCACAGGCAGGGACACCTTCCCCTATCCCAGGTTGCTCCAAGTCCCGTCCAACCTGGCCTTGGACACTTCCAGGGGATCCAGGGGCAGCCACAGCTTCTCGGGGCAACCTCTGCCAGGGCCTCACAACCCTCACAGCCCAGAATTCCTCCTCAATATGCAGCTCCAGGCCCTCAGAGACATCCAACTAACGCCAAAAGCCAAGCTAGGAAACACAGGAGCAGGTTGGGGTTGAGGGCTCCACGTCCTGCTCGGTCCTGGCAGGGACCAAGATCCCAGATGTGACAGTGGGATTTCTGTAACCCGATTTTTTCCCCCCCTCCCATCTGCTGGGCTGGTACAGAGCATCCAACAGAAACGTGTTTCCCTCAGAGAATCCAAAACTGGCATTTGGAGGCATCGCTTCCCTCACGGAACACACGGTGGCAGGTGCTCAGGAAGGAGGTTAAAACCATCGATTTCCACGTTCCTCCCGGGAAAAACAACACTCCTCCGTAGGAAGGGCGTTCATTTAAATGCTCACATGACTAATTCCCGAGGATTTTCCCCCTCCTGCCCCCCGATGATCAATCACAGCTGCTTTTTAGGGACAGAGACCGGAGGCCTCTTCCCAGGAAAATGCACAAAATCCACAAATTAATGAGCTCGCTGTGGCTGTGGAGTGAAGGGCCAAACACACCACCTGTCCCCCTCCTCTGGGGCACCAGGGCTGTGATAATGCCGAGCATTTGATATTTCCCCACGGGTGGAAAGCAGTGAAATTCAAATTAACCTGTCCTTTGGATGGAAATGGGAAAAGTGGGGGAGAGACCAAAGGGAATCTGACCTAAGGGTCTTGCTTTCAGAGCCATTTCCATCACTGTCATTGCTCTGAGACTTAGAATTATATCCACATATAATTATATATAAAATATATATTTTATATATAATTATAAATTATGATAAATAAATACATATATAGTAATAATATTTTTATATATAATTATGTATGGATGATAATCTAGTCTAGAGTATTATAATGTAATTATAAATATATTGAGCATTACATATATGAGATTAGATATATTATAATTAATATATAATAAATGACA